CACACACATGCACAGCGAGTCCTCCTCCTCCTCACTCTCATTCACACGCGTGCACAGCGAGTCCTCCTCCTCCTCACTCTCATTCATACACGTGCACACTGTCATTCCTCTTCTTTCATGTGCATGCCTCCACCTCTCCAAGGTCGGATGAAATGACCAGAAATTAATGTTGCAACATTTTAAAACCTCCTTTGTTTTTCGTATGAGCTCCTCCTGCAGTTGTTCCCTGCAGACCTCACTGACCCAACAGCAGGAGTCACTTTTCATCAGTCCAGTCGAGAACAAAAAGAAACGTGCGTCTTTTGATCGGTCGCTCTGTTACATTCAGATTTATGACGACGAGACTGAATCACATTTGTAGTTCCGATTCATATTTTTGCTCCAAATGATCAAATAATTAAAAACGTTCAACCGTATCGTCTGGCTTCAGGACGGAGATGCAGTTGTCGTTCAACGAAGGCATTAATGACCAACACGTCCATCCTCCGACCCGTTTGTCCAGTAAAGATGTCGTCTTTACGGACTGAGGATGAACGGTCGTTTTATGAGCTACGTGTTAAAACTAAACCCGTTTGTAGCTTCAACATTAGCGCGTTTGTGCAACATCTGCGTGTGCTGCCTTCTCTTTAACGCTCCCGTTTGTTTTTCTTCCTGCAGAGACGATTCGGCGAAAGCCACCTTTTTCCAGCACCTGGTGGAGGACCGGACGGAGTCTGCATCGTCCTACCAGGAGTTCCTGCAGCACCTTCACCAGCAGATGTCCAAGTAGGCTCCCGTTCTGCTGACTGAAGGTTTGGACTAATTCCTGAAGGCAGAGTTTGGACTCGTAGAGTGAAGGCTAGCGTTGCTCGCCCTTCAGGCGGCCTCATAAAATCAGACGATCATGGAGGCTTCGGGACGAAGATCTAAACGAACCACTAAATGAAACAAGGATTTGTTCCAGAAAAAACAACGGTCGTCGAACCCGTTCAGCCTCGTCTGACCCGTCGCTCAGAGAGCAGAATGTCGAGCCAAGAAGATTCCACTTCCTGTTTGTTTGTTTTTGTTTACCTCACATGTAGCTGAAAGTTAAAATTCACCCGTCTGTTTTATTTAGTCTTTTTTTTAAAAACACTGGAGAACAAGAACTAAAGTTCGGCATGCGGATAAAACAACGCGCATGCCTGGATTTTAGTTTGGGATCACGATTCAGTCGGATGTTTGTTTGTTTGTTTTTTATTAAACCTTCGCCTCAGCTCCGTCTCCTCCGATCCGCTGAGCGAAGTTCTGATCGGTCGAGCTGGAACTCCGGACCTCCACCCCTCGGCAGTCGTCGTCTTGTTTACTTTTCCAGGCGCCGAGTAAAAAGTCCACTTTGTAACTACTGAGAAGTATCTTTTATGTGCGATAATTTATGAACGAGCTTATTAAATAAACATCAAAACACAACTCTGCTTTTTTCACGAGCTCTGCTGTTTGTGTGAAATTGTTTTATTTACTTTAGTCTAGATTCAACGTCTCAGCAAATAGACGCGCTACGTTTTTATTTCTGCATCATTTGTCACTTTATCAATTTTGTTTAACTTTTTCACACAATCTTAAGTAAACAAATGGTTAAAAAAAAAACGTCCTTAGCAACAAAAACCAGAATGTGCAGTTCTTGGAGGAACTGCGTTGTCTTTATTTATATTTCATGACGTTTCTGATTAGTAGAAAACAACAAGCTGGTCGCAGTAAGTTTACTCTTCACGTTCAACTCCCTACAGATAAATTGACTTGCGTTGAAGCCGGAATATTAAAAAGTGTTTAAAGAAAACAGAAACTCAAACTTTTTGCTTTTTAAATTAGAAAAAAAATAAACGCATCTGTTTGTAGCCCCCGTACATGAACTTAAAGCAAACCGATCTCACCAGGACTCACGGACGTCATTTTTACCCGAGATTTAAAGGTTCTCGCTGCAAAGTTTGAAGTCAATGTAAACAAACATGATTCCACTGATAGTTACTTTCGGGGTTCCTCAGGGTCAGTCCTCGGTCCTTTTATTTTCATATGGTGCATGCTTCCTTTGGGCCAGGTCATCAGACCATCTGTCCACGGTTGCGCCGATGACTCAACTTTATATAAAAACGGACGGTCAATTCTCTGTCTGGAAGGGATGAAGGTGTGGATGGACCAAAACGTTCTCCAACTGATCGGTTCCAAAACTGAGGCCACGTTGGTTGGTACTCCATCAGCTCCAGTCTTCTTTCATAACAGCTATAACCCTTTCCGGTTAGGACATTACACACTCCTCCGTGTCACCACCTTGGGTGTTTGGTTTGATCCTCGCCTTTGATTCCCGTGTTTGACATCTATGCAAGACCTGAAAAACTTGTTTCCTTCGTTTCTTCAAGGCTGGACTTTGGCAACTCAATCAAACAAAAACCTTCAGAAGCTCCGAGTCCATCCAGAACAACGCTGCTAGACTGTTAACCAAAACTAAAAACCATGGGCCCATAACAGCAGTCCTGCATCGTCTTCAACGACTTCCTGTCCCTGCCAGAGCACAAGATTTATTTTCTGACATACCACCATCTACCTTGAGTTGTTCATAACCCACATCAAAATGTTTCCCTCTTTTGTCCCTCTTCGTAGAACGAAAAGGGGGATTGGAAATAACATCCATGTGTTAGTCCCATCCATCTGTGAATGTTACGAGCGCTACAACTTGAAAAATAAGTGAGGTGCCAACTTCCATTTTGGCGTGTGGCTGTATGTAGGTGCAAGGAAGGTTCCTTTTGAAAATTGGGTTGTCGTGTCAAAATCCAAGATGGCCTCCACCATATACTATACAGTATATGTAAACCAGCCGTCCCTATCATTTAGGAAACTATGCTTTTTATACCAAAGTACATGCTCAATAATCCAAGTATAAAATCCAACAATGTTCAGTCAAGTCATCTGGACTGTTTTTTTTTTTTTTTTGGGGGGGGGGGGACTTTTCGCCCTTCGGATGGAGGACAAAACGTCTCGGCACACACAAAAACAGTCCAGATGACCTGACTGAACAATGTATGCTTTTTATAGTTTCCTCAATTGATTGGAGGGGCTGGAGATTAATCTACGGTGGTTAATGCCACCATTGGCCACCCCCTGGCTCCACCACTGCACCTGTAGTGGATTATTTTCATTCATTCATTCAACCAAAACCTCCTGTTCTTCTCCACAGTTTAACTCCTACAACTTGAATATAATGCACCAAAAACATTAAGGTTCATTAACATCTCCTGTTCAATCCTAGTCCAGAAAAACACTCGTCTTGAAAACTAAAAACATTCACTCTTCAGATCCTCCAGCGACGGGGGTCATCGGTGTATCGCTTGTTCAATCTAAGGACTCTTTAACCAAAGTGAACAGTAAAACTTTGCAAATTTGGTTAAAGATTTTGATTTTTTTTGTTTGTTTTTGTTCGATCTTCATGAATTTTCACTGAGTTCCTTCAATATTTTTGTATCAAAACCAGGATTCTTTGAAGAAATTGGTTAACGAGTTATTTTGCTGACAGACAAACTCCGGCGTCAACCTTCAGAATAAATGTCAATAAAATGTTTCACCAAGACCGTTTTGGTTTGTGACCCGTGAAGGTTTTCAAATTTGTTTTCAGAACTTCTGACTGATTTTAGATTAAATGTGAGAAAATTAAACGCTCGGTGTTTAAAACTCGTCTCTGGATGTTCAAGCCGGGCCTGTTTTCTGTCTCAGCTTTTTTTTTTTTTAATATTAAAAATCAAAATTGTAAAAATCCAGGCGACAACATTTTCTAATCTAATCCAAACTGACTCGCTTCGTCCAAACGGCATTAAAATATATATATATATATTTTTTTTTTGCCTTTTCGGAGCCTCTGGGAGAATTCAGTTCCAGATTGGATCTGGTTCCCATACGGCCCGGCGGCTCCCGTCCACGTGGACGACCGCTCCGGTCCTGCTTTCAGCTTGAAGCTGTTTTGATAAAAATATAGAAAATTGAGGGTAAACACGCTGGAGGGAAGAACCGGGCCAGCTGGAGGGGGCGTTGGACGCATCTCAGTGTTTCTAAAAACGGTTTTGCCAGATGTTTGTCGGGCAGCAGCGTCTTGAAGCGTCGAGTCCCCCAACAGCTCGTTTTGTCTTTTTTATTCAGAAGCAGGAAGTCAAAGCTAAAGACCGAAAAGAGACTCCATCCAAAGTTGGAGTTTCTTTATTCGTCATACACACCACATGTGGTGGAACGAAATTGTGTACACGGGGTCCCAGTTACATCCAACAAAAGTATGAAATGTAAAAGAAAAACAGTGATAAGATCTAAGAAATGAACCAAGAAAAACATGTAATTAAAAAAACTCTAAGCAATAGTAGAACAAAAACAATACATCGAACAGCAGCATCTAAAGAGCTGAGGTGACTTCATTTTAAATGTTTTGAATAAAATCAGAATATTTATCCAACCCCAGGGCTGAAGAAGCTGAATCATTGTGTAAAATTTAAATATAAATGTAAACGACGAATGTTGAAACTGAGAAACTTCTAGGAGGAAAAAGACGGTGATTTTGAGCTTCATAGGAGCTAAATGTTTCCATCTGTAAGAGAACTTCAGACGAGCGTCCAGATGAGACGATTTATGACTCCACTGCATAAAAAACTGTCCTCACACGAAGAGGCTTTAAGGATTCAGTCAATAACATCATTTTTAATCCACCGTAAACGGAGTTTAAGCTGATCTGAGGAGGGAAAAGCCTATTCGGCTGACACCTCCTGAGAGCTGAACTTATCCAAAGAAGCTAAATGTTGATCTTTTATAGCTAAAGGTAACGGCACCAGCTGAAAAGGCAAAAATGTCTCAGTTGAAAGTAGCTAAAAGGAGCATAGGCTATAACTTAAAAACAATAACGCTAGCTGGAAGTGACAAAAGACTAGGTCAAAGTAGTGCAGAACTAGCTAAAAGTATATGCAAAGGCTACATAAAACTAGCAAAGCTCTAAGCTATAATTATCAAAACTGGTTTAAAGTTAAAAGTAGTAAGTAGTAGCCGACAACCAAAAGTAGCAGGATACTAGCTAAAAGAAGTAGAGCAATAACTTCAAGCTTAAAGTAGCAGAAAGGTAGCTAAAATTGATAAGTAAAATAGCTACAAGCTAAAAGTAGCAGTAAGCTAAAATTAGAATGTCAACTAAAAATCTAAAAGAAGCAGAATGATAGCTACTAGCTAAAAGTAGCAGAATATTATCTAGAAGCTAAAAGTAGCATAATGTTATCTAAAAGCTAAAAGTAGCATAAT